TCCAGCAAACACCAGTAGAAGAACTTTGACTTACACTCGACACACCAATCATGCCGTATCACTCGCTACAGGCAAGCCGGTGTGGTACACTGCCCTCAGCTACGTCTGGGGTCCACCAATCTTCGATGACACCATCTCCTTTGAACATGGCCAGTTGAACATCTCCGCAAGTCTGGCGGGAGCTTTGGACCACTTGAGATCGACTGAGCATAGCGTTGTCTTGTGGACGGACCAAATATGCATCAATCAGCCCGACATTGCGGAGAAGGTGCAGCAGATCCCGTTGATGGGCTTGGTCTACACACATGCTACAAACACGCTCATATGGCTCGGTGGTGATGGTGAAGAGGACTCGGCACTTGCTTTCGATTTGATGGAGACTGTTTTTGTGCGGTTACAAGGGACAGATGCGCAAGTGACGCCAGCGGATTTTGAGAGGCTGGATTTTCCACCTAGCCTTGATCGAGCGTGGTGGGCTGTTCGTCAAGTCCTGCGCCGCCCCTGGTTCGGCAGATTGTGGACCATCCAGGAAGCCGTGCTTTCGAGACAATTGTTTCTCAAATGCGGCAAGATCGAGGTGTGCTGGGACGATTTTGCTGCATGGTGTCATGATCTGGCAGCAACACATCTGCTCAGCTTGTTGACTGGTAACGCTGAGCTGGATGAGAAGTACGCCACGAAAGCAGAGGTCAAAGCATTGCCGCCGCATGGTGCTGATGTGGTGAACTCTGTTCAGGCAGAGCGCGTACATGGCCTGACAATCGTTACGAAAGAAGCATTACTAACCATTCTGGTTTCTACACGTTATGCGCAGGCGACAAACCCCAAAGACAAGATTTACGGTGTGCTGGGTATAGCAGATGCCGATATCGTACCCGACTACAATCCCGATGTTCCTGCGAGAGCGGTCTATCACGAGGCCTGTCTGACGGAAGTACCTGATCGCATTTACGAACTGTTAAGCTGTGTCGATCACGAACACCCGCTCCAGCCGTCTTGGGTCCCAGACTGGAGCACCCCACGCGTAACGGACGTATTTGGCTATTCGACAAGATCTTGGGCTGTATACTGTGCGGGTGGTAGGCCCGTCACCGGCGCGCAGCCACCCAAGGCTATCGTGAGCGAAGATAAGCAAGAGATCACACTGAGCGGTAAAGCATTCGACACCATTGCCATCCTAGGCAGTGTCAGTGAGGATCCCTTTCTTGATATCGACAATCCACAACGGGGCAATCGTGATTTAGCATCTTACGCCGAGCTTGTCATGGGCGCTGGTCGAACACACACATACCTTTTACAAGGTAGTTCAACATACGACGCCTTTCTACACACACTACTGGCGGGACGCGATGGCTCTGGCGTTGCGCCACCAGATGCAGACCACAGCGAGGTATTCGGGCTCATCCTAGATGCCACGACAGGCAAGTCCCTATGCCTACCTGGTCAGACTATGAGCCAGCGGCGGCAGAAGGGTCACTTCAATCTCGACAGTCTCAAGACCAGGAAGCCGGCAAAGACCCTGGAAGACTTGCAAACGGCGTACCGGGCCGCGGTGAAGATGCGCCGCTTTGCTGTAACCGAGAAGGGCTACTTTGCATTAGTGCCGAGGGGTGCGCAAGTCGGTGATGAGCTCGCTGTCTTCGATAGGGCATGTGTACCTTTTGTGATCAGGAAGCAGCAAGTCGAAGGAGTTGCCGAGAAATTTGAGCTGCTTGGTGAAGCTTACGTCCATGGTATTATGAAGGGCGAAGTGTTGGCCAAGGAAGACATTGAGCTTCAAGACATCACGCTTGCTTGAGCGCATCCTAGGCGGTCCATCTTCCCGATAATCGACCATCGATCACGATCCGGTCGGCACTTTTCCACTAGCGCCGACATGTCAACCAGGTCACAAGCAAGCCTCTTTATATGGGGCGGCACTCTATCCTCGGGGGGCTTGGCGCCTCCAATTTACGCACGGCTAAGCCATTGGCTAAAGACAACCTCGCTTAGGACTTCTAAGAACATTCGACACACGCTCTACATTGCTTAATATAATCGCGTGGCAACTCCAGCGACACGGCCTTTCTCATCCGGGTTTTGGCTGGTATAGCGTTGCGGTTTCAGGCCTTTGCCGCAACGGCTCGCGATGTGGTTGGTGGAGGCGAAGAAAATGCTCCGCTCATCTGGGGTGCAGGAAGTAGACTTGTTCGCATCTGGGGGTGTGTATGCGATATCACCAAGCATGCAATATATGTAAACCTTGGGTCTGGGTTCAGATCTTGAATGTCAGGGCGAAGACGTTGTTTATAAGTACCCCGACTACAGCAACATTGAAACATCAAGCACCTCCATCAGAACCAACAACAACCATCACAATGAAGCTCTCCGCCCCACTTGTTCTTGCTGCAGCAGCCAGCTCAGCATCTGCCCACACAATCTTCGTCAGCGTCAACGGCGGCGCAGTAGGAGATGGTGTCCGCGTCCCCTCATACGACGGCGTACGCTCTCCATACCCCCAAACCCATCCCCTCCCCAACTAACTTTCCTCCAGCCCATCAACGACGTCTCCACAAACGACATAGTCTGCAACGGCGGCCCCAACCCCACCGCCAAAACCTCCACCGTCATAACCCTCCAAGCCGGCTCCACCGCCACCCTAACCTGGCGCCACACCCTCACCTCAGGCCCCTCCGACGTAATCGACTCCTCCCACAAAGGCCCCGTAATGGCCTACATGAAGAAAGTCAGCGACGCCAAAACCGACTCCGGCGTCGGCGGCGGCTGGTTCAAGATCTCTGAAGACGCGTTTGATGGTTCCAAATGGGGTGTTGATCGTCTTATCGCCAATAAAGGTGTTCAGACGATTACGATTCCAAAGTGTATTGCTCCCGGACAGTATTTGCTTAGGGGAGAGTTGATTGCGCTGCATAGCGCGAGTAGCAGTATGGGCGCGCAGTTTTATATGGAGTGTGCGCAGATTAATGTTACGGGGGGTGAGGCGAGTAAGACGCCGGCGACGGTTTCTTTCCCGGGTGCGTATAAGCAGAATGATGCGGGCATTCTTTACAATCTTTACACGGGGAGTAAGACGTATACGAGCCCTGGACCGGCGGTGTTCAAGTGCTAGACCCGTAGAGTGCGTAGAAGAGGATAGTCACATTGATGCGCAGACGGTCTAGAATAAGAAAATATTCATTTCAAGGTCGAGTGCCTTCTCTTATAAGCAAAGTATCTAGTATGCTGCCGTTCCATTCCCCATACTCAGTACTCTTCTAGTCCAACCTTATCCTACCCAATCCTTAGTCGGCGAAAATGACGACATCTTCATAGCCGCCTACATACTCAACATCTCAGTCGAGAAGTCCGACAGTGACATCGTAGTCATTGCCCTTGCGTATCGCAATGGCGCTTGACTTGTTCTTCCTATCCGTGCCCGCGGTAGGCACAACGGGGAGCTTGTTGAAGCGTACAGTGACGTTGAGGTATTGCGGGGTATGTCGGATGCCCTGCCAGTATCTCCTTGTCCCCGCGGAGCGAGAGGTTGGCTTTGTGGACCTGCTTCAAGGGATGGTGTTGTTGATGTTGGTGATGCGATGGCATGTGGTTTGTGCGGTGCGCATTTGACTTGGTGATGTTAATGGCTGTGATGGATGTTTTGCGCTTCGGGGTGTGAGGGGTGGGAGTGGACATATGTTTTTAAGTGTTGGTGGCATGACGCATGTAGTGATGAGCCGGCTACGAGTTTGATACAACGACTAGGGACAGTTGTTGTGAAGGAGTGAGGTGGAGACATTGCGTTTAAGCCAACGACATTCGAGTCTTTGAGAACTCTTGTAGTCTGCAAGAGTCTAAGAATTGTAATCTCTCTTATTCGTTAAGGAGTACCTTTGCGTATGTAGTGGTGATGTATTGCGGAAATTATAAGTAGCTTGTCTTGCTCTGCGTTATCGCAGCTTAGGTAGTCTGCAACTATACCTACATGAATTTCTTCTAAGATTTCGTGTCGTATGTTACTGCATACACGTTGCTGAAGCTTCAAAGGTAGACAATTTCCAACGCAATGTATACTTATTACCTAGGCACAGTGGAATATTGATGCGCAGTAAGGCGATGGTAGCCAATTGGGTAGCTCGATGCAATGAACTTAACGAAGGTCTGTTTCTGCAGCGTGTACTTGTACCTCGATAATGAATTTCTAATACGGTATGAATCGATAGATTCCAAGCACGTCGAGTGCCAGCATAGGTGATACCTATGACGTCATCGTTCGCGTTCAGCCTTCCTCGTCTCGCGATACAGCCCCGTCCTGTTTACCTTTCTCCTTCGCCTCAGCCATGGCCATGCGACTTCGCGTCAAACTACTGCAGATGATATCCTACGCAAACATGGCATGCGACAAGCACTTCCAGATTCGCTCACCGGTGCACAGCAGGCCAGACATGACATCGAAGGCTTTGTGGCGCGGCAAGGCTGAGGTATTGGCTGTTATGCAGGCTTGGTGATTGCCTTGCGTTATAACCCCTCGTTGTTCCTAAGCTCTTTCCTCGTACTCCGCACGCTCTTAGTAGCCCATGACGTTTTGTTTCGAAGCAGTTGCGCGAAGCACTCTCCGAATATGACCGATCCTCCTGCCACGCCTGGCACGTGGGAAGGGTGTAAATGGGCGCCGAGAAGTCTCATAGTATGGATACTATGAGATTTCCGACAATGGCCTGATATGTTAGTTATTCGCAAGGGGTAAAGCTATGAAAGGTACAATAAAATCTCCCGAGTGAAGACGTAGAAGTAGACAAGGGCTTATAGGCATAGAAAAGGCTACGCACTGTAGTGATACGCCTACTACAACTTTAGCGGTACACCTAGAAGAGACGATCACGAAGCATCGAGGCGGATACTTTGCATTCGAGCTAACGTTATTCAAGTCCTTGAGAAACCTCGCAGTCTCCAACCATGCCCACGCCACTTCCCATCTCTCTCGAATCTCCAGTGGTAGTCACCAACACAGGCACTTCGCCATATCACGCCGGTACTAGATCCCCTTCGTTCACCTCATACTCATTTGCTCTAGGCACTGGGTTGTATTTTTTCTCGATAATGTATTTCGCGATCTCGCCCAGGGTGACGATGACTCGTAGTACGATGTAGATTACGTCGTCGCCTTTGAGCTTGACGGTATCGCCTTCTTTGAACTAGTAAGCGCACGGTTGAATTAGTGTGTTGCATGGGTTTATGCTACGTGTGCGTTGAAGTAGAGTGCGCTTGGTACGTACCTGAGGCATGGATCTGTGAGAGTTCGAGGGTAGGGATGGGAGATGATGTGCTGGGTATGAGGTATGTTTTAGGTGGTCGAAAGGGAGGCCTTTCAACTTGCTTGTGACGGATGCTCTTGTTTATGTGCCACTGATCAGTAGAGCCTCGTCGTCCTCCCATGACGTATCATTAGGCAGTGCCGGGGTATGCATTGCCAGCAAATTATTCCATGCAGTTGCTACTGGTACGACGGTAGAGCCCAAGGAGAAGTGTGTGCTCATTCGTCGTTGCAGCGCCATGGAGAAGATAATTTGGCGAAAGAAGGCAATCACCATTGGAAGTTCTCATAAGAAAAGCATATGCATCCGCATTTGGACGATCCGGTGAGCTACAAACGGCTGCATGCATGAGGTACACTATTCGTTGCGAATAAGACATAGCCTGCATGTAAGGATCTCACGTAAGCGCCTGGATTCTTGGAACTAGCGCATGCCTTTTCCTCGGAGCGACTTGTCGGTCTGGGTGTGGGCGATAGAAGTGTCTGCACGAATTTTAGTGATACAAGCTACTATGTCAACATGTTTGAAGGTTTGAGCGAGTTTTCGTGAGAAGATCCTGTAAATGAAAAATAAAAGATTACATTGTTCTATAGTATGCTGACGGAGACAGTCTGGAAGAAGGGTAAGATGAAAATGCGCACTGGCCCCTGTGTCTGCTCTTTCTTCCATGTCTTCTGTGGTATCGATTGTTGATCTCAGCATGGTAAACCTGACCTCGGGATGCAATAGTTCAAACCAACTTCACTGTCCATCTCTGCCAGTCAGTGGTATGAATCCCGTCCTTATAATGATCAGAATATGGGCCGTCGTACTCCCACAATTGCATCCGACCAACACGTCGAGCGACTCTCTCTTCCCGATCGACCCATGTGAGTAGAAGCGCTTCAACGTGATCACTAGAAGTCATCAAGTACATACAAAATTGGTGGAGTGATGTGATATCTTTCTCCTTGTATTCGTCATAATACAAATGCTGTGTCGGCCCTCTGTATCTGTTTTCGAAGTATCGAGAAGGTTGCGTAGGATCGGTAGCGGATTCTCTTTTCAAATCGACAGGGCGGCTGGGTTCGATGGACATTTTAATCAGGAGCAGATCGAGCGCTTCGCGCGTAATACACGCGCCTTCTACGATGATGTAGGATCCCTCCAAGACCGCGCCATACATGTTGCGCTTGTCCTTCAAGATCATATGGTGTTCTTTAAGCTTGATGTCGAACATCTTGGCTTGTTCTTCCTTATCCCGGTTGCTCAAAGACGTGTAAATTCTCTGTCTGCTCCATCTATGATTAAATGTCACTTCGCCATCAAGACTCGCCCAGCTCCAGCTCGGCGCCCTGTAGTTCTTGTAGGTAGAAGTAAGAATTTCGCGTCGTGACCATGCGAGATGATCCACTAGATGCTCGCTCCAAATCCCAGCAAGGTAATGGCCCAACTCACCGCTGTTGTTAAGCAGACTTGCGACACCGGCCACGGCGTGAAGCTTGTCTGACGGCATTGTGAGACGACGTCTTGAGTACTCGCAAACACATTCGTGCCATGCCTTGAGTGCAATTGACTCTTGGTCGTACGTAGCGCGAGGAGCATTACAGAGTCGGGTGCTTGGTAGCCTTTTTGCTTCCACGAAAGCTTTTGCGATGGATCCTTGCAGCCGACTCTTGGAGAAAGACAAGATGCGACGTCGGGGAGGGCATGCCAAGACATGTGGTCCCCAGGCTTCAGAGACTAATTCTTCTGAACATTCCCAGATCATCTGTTGTTGCGTGTAGTGTATGATGCGGGGTGCAAGCATTCGCTCCTGTGCAGACCAGCCACGAGTAGACAAAATGCAACCCGCAATATCTATATGTGGCGGATCTATCCCATGGTGAAAGTAAAAACTCTTATCTTGACCCAATGCAGGAGAGAAGAGGGCGGTACGTCTGGTGAGAAACCCTTCGCAGCTATTACTGGCCGCAGTTGCAGATATCATGAGCGAGGAGAGGCCATAGTATGAGGCCATCATTGGTGCCTCCTGCTCCCAGTCATCAGCGTCGTCTTGAATGATGCATAGTGCATCGATCCAGAGATATTGATATCCCAGCCGGCGTGTGATCTCAATGGCATCTTCAAAACTCTGAGGGAGCAGTTCCAGACTTATAGCTTGGGCATATTCAGTGATGAGCGATTTGGTGAGTTTTGCTGGCACCTTTCCCCCCCAGCAATGTGATAAAATGACGTATTGGCCCTCTTGGCCGTGGGAGGTCAGCAGCCTCGGCGCTACAGACGGGTCTCTTGATATTTCGATCACACGGTTGGGGAGTTTTACAGATCCTAATTCAGGGCACTTGAGATGATCCGCGCATTGTTCAATCCACGTTTTGATACGGCTGAAGCAGCTCACATCCCATGGATAATTGTGTATTGGGGCTTTAGCGGATACATGCTCGTGGGTATTTCGATCTAGATCTGCTTTAGTTCAACGTGCCACATAGCGCATCCAAAGAGTCGCCCACCGTTCTTTTCATTCGTTGTACACAAAACCCATGGTATCGTATGTTCATAGAAGCCACCGTCTACTTGATTTGGTGTTTTAACATGTAGAAATCTGCCAGTAAACTCGAGAATGGTTTCGTCTGATAGCCTCATACTGCTTGAACTCGAATCCTTTGGACCTTGAAGGATAGCACAAAAGAATGCGCATCCACCGCAACCACGGCGGCCAGGCCCAAGACTGAGAGCCCTGACCACAGTCTCTGTATAGGAGCCAATCGTATGCCACTCGTCATACCCTTCGGTATATAATCTTGAGGATTTCGGATTCCAAGACTGTGGGATAAGTTGTGAGCAGATGCTGCAAAGCTCTGTAGCCATTGCTACAACTCTGGTTGTTCATACCACCTCGGCAAGGACCCAGGCGGAGTTCAACAATTCACAAATTGTTGAATGTGTTGATGAGAGAAGTAAGAAGGGCCAGGTGTGGTTGCACGATGCGGGGTAAGATTGCGGCGCGGTAGATGCGCACACGTGATTGCAGATCGTTGATCTCAACCCTCCAAGGTTGCAAGGCTCTGATCTCAGCCGTAAAAGCGCACAATGTCGTCGTGCGGCTTTGTGATATAGCATTGGAACTTCAACGAGTGCTGGGATTTATGAGCCTTCTAAGGTTCTGTTCCAACTAGAAAAAAAGAGTGTGAAGTCGAAGACGACTACAGGGCGTAAATTAGCCAATGAAGCTATGCACCTATCCGCGATCATACCCAGACTCCTACCATCGGCGGTGCCCGCCGGAATGCCCCCTGGGAGGTTACATAAGGCGTTAGACCAATATCATCATCATCATCATCATCATTATACCCAGACTCCCCCATCTTCTCACGCCAGCTCAAGCTCAATTAACGAATCCAGAATATGCGGATGCCGCCAAACCCCCATCATCTTCAACCTCTGACGTGCTGCCGGTGGCCCTTGGATACGGGTCTGTTAAGCTGTGAGTGACGCTGAAAGACTACTGCTTCCCACTTTCTACGTCTCTATCCTCAACTCCCCGGGCTCCAAGGCTGTCCAATGGCCTTCCTGAATCCCCCTTCAAACACATCAATCGTCTGATTCATATTCATCCCACTCGCAATCGCCAGCTGCAACATTATCCGCGCTTGAATAGGATGCACAAAGCCTGACTTCGCAAACGAAGGTGTCCGCGCTGGACTCGACGGCCCATGCGGACTGCGGGTCCCAACAACGACTTGAAGCCCTTTCTCCATCGCCTCAGCAATCTCGTCTCCGCCATTCGGCACACCACCATTTCCAGTCCCGGCAATAACAACACCGTCCGCGCCGTTAGCGTGCGCATCCAGTACCAACTTTCCATCAAACTCGCGGGCCGCGTACAGTATATCCACCTTCGGCAACGTCGGATACGTCGGATACGCACTCACAGTCCCCACATCGAAATAGTACTTCCACAGCGGCTGACTCGGTGTATTGAAGAAAACCGGTAAACTGTTAATGAAGATGCCCAAATCACCACCAGACGTAGGACCAAAAGCATCCGGATTGGTCGAATGCAATTTCGTTACCCAATACCCAGGTATGATGCGTGCGTTGAACGCTACCATGAGTCCTCTATTCCGCGACTCGGGACTCGCAGCTAGCATGACTGCGTCGAAGAAATTCGCTTCTCCGTCCCAGGAGAGGTGGGTGAAGGGTCGCATACTGCCTGTCCCGACGATGGGTTTCCCGCAGTTGATCAGTGAGTCCATGAGGAATGCGGTTTCTTCGAGCGAATTCGTGCCGTGCGTGTATACTGCGCCTACGATGTCGCTGTCGGGTGAACAGAGCGCGTCGTGTGCGAAGCGCGTCATGTTCATGACTAGAGCGTCGTTTGTGCCGGTGGAGCCATCGTCTTCGGTGGTCCAGTTGGACACGGCGAGTTGCGTGTTGTTGAGCAGGTACGGGTTGCGTGCTATGATGTCTTCGCCGGTTTGGCTGAGCTGCCCGTATTGCGTGTCGTCAAGCGCGCCGTAGATGGAGCCGCCGGCTATGGTGCCGCCGGTGAAGAGGACGCTGTGGGCGGTTTAGATGGGGATGTGGATGTTGGGATTTCGCGTTGCACGTACAGGACTTTGGGGAGGCTGCTGTTACCGCCTAGCCATGTTAGACCGAGTCGTTCGCTAGCGGTTGTTGCTTGACGTGGTTGGGAAGCTGTGGGTGCGGCGTTGCCGACCACGCTTAAAGAAGCAGCAATTACAAAGTCACAGAACCGCATGATGATTGACTGTCAACAAACAAAAGACTCGATGCTGTACACCTTGTACTACTTGTACCTTTATACTTTCACCCGTCCCACTCTTGCCGTCGCCCAACTCCTCCGCTTACATCCGCGGGCATTTTGATCTGACATATCGCCGGTGACGAGCCGTGTCTCCTCATGTAGCATCACGACATCGTGCATGTTCACTTCCTTGGCCACGTATATATGAGGAAGGTGTGAAGCTTGTGCTGCGAGTAGTCATGGAGTTGTTATCGTTCCTGCGTTATCGTCGAGAGATGAGCGAAGCTAGGCTGTGTTGGGGGCTGGGCAAGGCCCCACGTTTGCCAAGAGCGGGGTCGGTAACCAGAGACCTCGTTGCGCCTTGTCGTACTAACGAGAACGTCGGAAATTCTAAGGTCTGCTGTTAACACGACCTAGACCGAGTAGGAGATGAATTTAGCGCTGCGAAGACTAGGTTATTTACGGGTCTCTCAACAATCCGAGAGGCGCCCGATTGGAAGCTACGCGCAAGCTATCGGCATCACGTCAAGGCAACTGGACAGCCTTGAAGTCCGGGGAGTGAAGGATAGATACGTGTTGTTAGATATAGAAGATGATGGAGATGGTAAGAGAAATGGGGAATGAGATCTGACTCTCCATCCCAAGCCTTCCAGATCCTTGGTCTAGATGCACACCTCTACCCCCCTCCCAACGTCCCCAAAATCCCCCCTTCCCATCCCAACCTTCACTTATCCCCCTCCCACCACCTACTCCCATCCCACCCCTTCCCGGCACTCTTCCCCTTCCCATCCTTCTCACTCTCATGCTTATGAAAAAACGCAAACTCCTTCCCGATATCACTCAACCCATCACCCGCATCGTTCACCAGCATGCCCTTGCCCGGTCTCGCCATGAAGTACGCATAACGATGGATATCCTGCGAATTATCCATCCACGGCATGACGTCGTCCAGAAAGTTCCTGATCTCGTCGTCGGTGCCTTCGGCGCGGAATTCGGTGACCCAGATGGGGAGGCCCTTGGCGACTTTGCGCGCGTTGGCGATGTGGTCTTTGAAGTTTTGGGCGGAGTTGGGGAGGGTGTTGTACCTGGGGGTTTGCAATTAGTGAGGCTGCGCGTGAGCTGGACCTCGGGAGGGAGAACTTTGAAGAAGAACAGGGACGTACCAGTGGATGTTGATAAAGTCAATGGTGCATCCATCGCACGCTTCCAGAAACTTGGCCAGCCAGCCCAGACCCGTGGTATCAGAGGCTGCGGCATTAGTGACAGCGGGCGAACCGAGATACATCGCGCTGTTGAAGTTGGAGAGCGGTTCCATGTGTTTCTTCCAACCAGCGACAGCGGTGGGGACGTCGATGCAAGAGCCGCCTGCGTCAGGACTTTTACTGTAATCAGCACAACCTCGGACACACACACACACACACACACACCTATTCTCACCGAAAGCAAAGACTGTACTTACATGCAGTTATCCGGCTCATTAAACCCCATCAACCACGTCGCAAACCCGTTATCCTCGAAATTCTTCCTCGCCATCGCCTCCGCATTGTCTTTCCACCTTCCCGTATGATCGTCGCGCAGTGAATGCAGCATGGGGATGAAGCGGAACCAGGCAGGTGAGAGGGCGGATGAGGAGTCCCAGTTGAAGCGCCAGGTGACGTGGGTTCCATCGCCTTGGAAGAGCTTGTTGTAGGCGACATCGTTGTAGGCTACGCCGCGGCGTTCGTGGGCGGGGGTTTGGGTCAGGGGGTCGTGTTTGGGCTTGCTGCCTTGGGTGGAGGCGGGGGTGTCGTCGGGGAGGGGGGTCGCGAGGGGGGTCGCGGTGGTGAGGACGGAAAGCAGGAAGACGAGGATTAGGGCGAGGAGTTTCATGATGGGCGAGGAGATCGAGGTAGAGACTGGGTGGAGAGAGAGAGTGGTGGGCTTGGGGCAATCGATGGTATTGAATGGTGGTGTGGGAATTGACGCCCAGGTAGGGAGTGAGTGAATCTTGTGAAGGGGTTCTGTGAGAGAATGTGGAGAAGTAGATGTATGAGTGTATGAGCAAGTTATGGGTCCATGGATCACGCTCGCTGGTCTAGCGCTGATAACGCCTTCGCAGAGGTAAAGTCGGGAGCCTTGACAAACGCTTCAAGTAGAGTTTGGTCACGACCCGGGTGGGTACTCGAAGTCATTGACCTAGAGAAGGCAGGCGTGACTGACCGACGGTGCGAGAGCGGTGGATGCAATCAGAAGACTACCAATGCGATCGGTCGCGGTGATTAGGCCAAGACATGTGGGTTAGAATGTATTTCGTTCGTTTGCTGGAAGTCGCGAAATGACAATGTTGAGTGGAAGATAACGGACCGCTGTGTCTCCTTCACCTCACTAGTGCTTGAGCAGTCTAGCTCGCTGTCCGCTATTGGCGACGCATGCCCAGGTCCGGAGTGAAAGGTGGACCACGGTGATTGATCAAAGTGAGAAGGCGTGCCAAAAATCATCGAGACGTCCAAAATATTGGTATACACATGAAGTATATGATACATAGCTCTGCACTGAGCCTACATCTTACCACCAGTAAGCTCCTCGGCCACCTTCTTGACGCGCTCTTTGGCAAGGCCAACACCCTCGCCACCCTTGAGCTTGTTGAGCATGTCGCCGACACCCTCGGGCAGGGGACCGTCCCATGGGCTGAGACCGTTCCTGCCGTCTTCTCTTGGACCCATGACTCCCCTGGCGTCCCAGGCAACAGGCTGCTCATCAGACCCGAAGACCTTTTCTATCGCCTCGTCTAATTGTTGTTCGTCCACGATGAACTTTCGCGCGTTGGTGTATAGATCGTGTAGGCGAGAGGCGCGGATTTCTTGTATCCGGGCTACTCGGCGCTGGTATGCTCGGCTCCGGGCCTTTGTGATGTCGGGCCGCGGAGGCAGGCTGTCGGTGAGGAAGTCACGGATGCCCTTGGCGACGGATGTTTCTGTCAGAATGTCGACTTCGCGCCGTGGTGCCGTGGCCAATTCCCGCCTTTTCGCACCGATGGCCTGGATCTTGGCCATGTACTCGGCCTCTGATGTGACCTTTCGCTCGTGCAGCGCCTTGACACCCTCCTTCAAATTCTCTCTCCGCTTCTCTGCCAGCCTCTGCTTGTATAACCGGTAGTCGACATCCCGGCTGTATGGTCCGGGGGCCTTGACGTCTTTGGGCTCCTTCGTACTCCGGTCGAGGAAGATGTCCGACTCCTTCGGGTGCTTATTCCTTGTCTTGAAGACGTCTCTTGGAATGGGGAGGTGGCCCTTTACTGCGGGCTTGGCTGGGTAGGTGGGCTGCAGCGGCTTCGGCACGTCGATGTAGTTTGGCGACTGCGGACCGAGGGCGAGAGCGGAAGGTGTGGAGGAGAAGGCACGCACACACAGACTGCTGCTCCAGCCATTAGCGGCGGCAGAGGGTCGGACGGGTATCCTGGGCGGCATGGCGGTGTTCCTGCCTCGTGCACTCGAATGCGGCGATGCGGAGGTGCTGCTGCGGTGTCGTCGCGCCTGCTTCGAAATTGTCGGCGCCAAGCCCCTTGGCCCCACTCTGGCTAGCTCCCGCCTCTCAAAAAAAGTTGCCCATGCCTCGCGAACTCTACTCTTCACTCTTCCCAACCCGCCAACACCACAGGAAGCAGTCGCCATGGGTGTCCAGAAGAAAGAGTACAACCGCAAGGAGCGCGAGGGCAAGACGGGCGATGGCATGGGAAACGTCAAGACCAAGGGCGCCAACTTCTACCGGTACGTTGCGCAATCTTTTTGCGCCAGGGTCTTTATGTACAGGTATACTGATAGTTTTGTAGTGATGCGAAGAAGGTGAAGCTCCTCAAGCGCCTTACAGGTGGCACAGCGGAGCGCAATGCCAAGGGAGACATTACCAAAGCCGCCGTCTACCAGAACCGCGCTGCACCTGTCGCCCGCGTCGAGCCCAACAGGAAGTGGTTTAACAACACGCGAGTGATATCGCAAGATGCCCTCGACAGCTTCCGCTCGGCCGTGGAGGCGCAGTCTTCGGACCCTACCACGTTCCTGATGAAGCGCAACAAGCTCCCCATGAGCTTGATCGAGACACCAGGACAGATCCCAGGTCTCAAGCAGCACGCGGCCAAGATCGCCGTTGGCAGCCAGCCTTTCTCAGAGACATTCGGCCCCAAGGCCCAACGGAAGCGCCCGAAGCTCGACTTCAGCTCCATTGAGGATCTGGCTGGTCGCACAGGCAGCATGCACGAGACCTACGTGGAGCGCCTCGAGAACGCCAAGCTGCTCTCGGGCACGTCTGGCGAGGCAGAGCAGAACGAGTCCTTTGCCGACAACCCCAACGGCGAGCTTACGTCTGCGCGCGAGTTCATTTTCATGAAGGGTACATCGAAGCGTATCTGGAACGAGCTATACAAGGTAAGCTTACAAGCATCGCCTCTCGCAAGCCATATCTAACATACTCCAGGTCATTGATTCTTCCGATGTCATTCTCCATGTCCTAGACGCCCGTGACCCTGACGGTACCCGCTGCCGCTCCGTCGAAAAGTACATCCGCACCGAGGCACCTCACAAGCATCTAGTCTTTGTGCTCAACAAGGTCGATCTTGTTCCCTCCAAGGTTGCTGTAAGTCCACACCCCCTCTCTACCCCCTACACCAATCACACCCTCCTTAAGTCAAGGACCTTTTCCTATTCCATGAATACGGTTCTGTTACAAGTTGGGAAGAGCAAAAGTGGCTCGCTGGCCTAAGATCGTCTTGATCGCGGGTCGATTGGTAACCGTCTTGGTTGCCGATCAATAGAGTCACGCGTGATTTGTTTGAGTTGAGGACCGTCTCTGCACTCGCAGCTTCATGGCGGTACTCTTAGTAATATTTCGCACATTCCGTCGTCGACGCATTATATCATGTCAAGTCAATGACCACGCACTGACACTTGACAGGCTGCATGGGTTCGTCATCTCAGCAAAGAGTTCCCGACTCTTGCTTTCCACGCCTCCATCAACAACAGCTTCGGTAAGGGTTCTTTGATCGCCCTTCTCCGCCAGTTCAGCTCTCTCCACAGCGACCGTAAACAGGTCTCCGTGGGTATGGTTGGCTACCCGAACACCGGTAAATCGTCCATCATCAACACTCTGCGAAAGAAGAAGGTATGCGTTGTCGCGCCCATCGCTGGCGAAACCAAGGTCTGGCAATACATTACCCTGATGAAGCGCATCTACATGATCGACTGTCCTGGTATCGTACCACCAAACCAGAACGACACCGATACAGATCTACTCCTTCGCGGTAGTGTACGTGTCGAGAACGTCGAGTACCCAGCACAGTACATCGAAGAGGTTCTAAAGCGGGTACAACCGCGACATCTTCAACGAACGTACGACATCAAGGATTCAGATTACAAAGGCGATGCTGTCGCTTTCCTGGAAAACCTGTGCCGCAAGAGCGGCCGTCTGTTGAAGGGCGGTGAAGCTGATATTGACGGCGCTGCGAAGATGGTTTTGAACGACTGGATAAGAGGAAAGCTTCCTTGGTTCACTCCACCACCATACAAGGAGGGTGAGGAAGCAGTGAGCGGACCCATCAACGCGAAGCGCGAAGGCAAGCTCGGTGAGATGAGCAAGAAGCGGAAGCGAGGTGGTGAGAGCGAGGCCGGTGAGAAGGCTGGTACGAAACAAGACGAGTCCGACTACGATAGCGACTTTAGTGGGTTCAGTGACGATGATGGCCTACAAGTGGATGGCGAGGACGATGATGAGGAAGAGGTATCGGACGACGACGAAGAAGGTGGCACAACACTAGAAGCCGTCGACGTTGACGAAGCAGTCGACGATGATGACAAAAGCGAAGACGATGAGGTGGTGGAGAAAGAGCTCGCTGCCATAACATCGGCGCTTTCCAAAGCGAAGAAGCGGCAAAAGACCACGTAAGGTCAAAAAGATGATTAGTTTATGATTCAAATGATACCCCGATATTACGATGTCTCAATCACTGAACAGTCCCTCAACGTCTTGGTGGTGCGACATGATTACAAACGATTTCATCGCGAAACAGGCAATCCCTTTGTCACGCAGTGGTCCAGATAGGCTAGCTGGTGCCTCAGTGGCTGACGCAAGGATGGAAGGATCACAAACGTGGGCACAACGTGGATAACGTCCTGGATTGGGGGTTCTGGACTTGGGCCATCATGCTGACATGCAGCCTCGCCACGCTTCGCGGGTGCCACCTGCCGTGCCATGCTGCCAACAGTTCGGCACAAGTTCGTCCGACGGATGAGGGGCACAAGTGTTGTACGACTGGGCTATTATCCCGACTACTTGTCGCGACTGTCAAAGCGCAAGGCTGGTGCTCTTTGCCTCCCAACTATTGCAACCCTCGATTTCCCCAAACTTAATCATGGCCGCCGATCCGACTCCGACCAAAGCTGCTCTCTCCCTGCTCGACAACATCGCCTCCCTCAGCACCGGCTTCAAAAATGGCCAAAGCGGCGCAAGAGAAGGCTTACTAGACGCATGCCATAGCCTCATCGCAGAAGCCAGCCACCCATCCGAAAACATGCTACACATACTCTGGGCCCAACCCACCCACCTAACCACGCTCTGGCTAGCCGTCGAGATACAGCTCTTCCAAGCCATGCACTCAGTCCCAGAAACCGGAGCCAGCAGCCACTCCATCGCAAAACAATGCTCTAAAAACTGCTCCAAAAACGTCGACCCCGTCATCGTCGCACGCATGCTACGCCACCTCGCCGCCATGGGCACAGTCCGCGAGACCGGCCCTGATACTTTCGCTAATACACCTACGTCTAGGGCGTTTGCTGAGCAAGCGTATCAAGACTCTATCCTGTTCATCGCGGAAGACTTCCAGCCTGTGCACCACTCCATGA